AACTCAAGAAAAGTTGAAAAGGAGTTCAAAGATAATCACAAAAAGTAAAACACAGCAATTGGCCGGTGCGCGAACCGACCAGGGATTCTCTCCCAAACAGCGCAAGCCTTTGTTCAGTCAATCAAACACTTGTACAGAATACAATATTCACAACAGTAAAATCACACACTCAACAAATATGCAAGTCTGGTACTTGGACAAAATGATTTTGGGCAGAGTTTTTAGCAAGTACAAAAATTCTCATGTATGACGTAATGCTTTGAGACAAGAATTTGGTCTGTGTGAATTTTAATTGAAGCAAGGTTTAGTTCCAGAAATGGAAAATAGTATTTATAAAGTTTCTTTCTTGATTCACCAATTCTCTCAAGAGCAGGATTTGAAATAAACTAAAAATGCAGAGTTTTGTTTGTAAAGATCAATTTGATCAAATAGGATTGATCAGGAAATTTTACAAGACTCCTAGCTTAGTTCCAGAGTTGGAAAAAGGTTTTAAACACTCAGAAAAAATGATATAGATTTTTGCATGGTCCGCGAATTTCCAAATTTGAAGCACACAAAAAAATGCCCAGTGACTCCCAAACTGTGACTGTGTTGTAGCATACAAAATCAGGGGTTTTTATACAAAAAAAAAGGGGGTGGGGTACATGGTAACTTCTGAGAGTCCCAGGGGTTGGGCTTCATGAGGATGAAAACACCAGGTGCTGGTGTTTTTTGATTCCAGAAATTGAGACGTTTACAACAAGTTTTTCCCGAAAACCGGGTGTCTTCACAATTTACAGGGTTTTACGAGGGTTGCGCATAAATTTTCTCTCGAAAACCAGGTGGCTTTTAACTTTAGTAAATTGTTTTAAGACTGCGCATGTTTGGAAAGACAAGGATAAATGGTTTTAGTATCAGGGGTTCATGCCTTTTCCAAAAAAGAGAAACGTCAAGGGACACAACAATAAAAGAGGTAACGCGTCGAATGTTGACAAGTATGAGCAACGGCCAGCAGCTGGCAAAATCTGGTCCCCTTGTTGGGGATATTTGATCTTTTTGTAGACTCAGCAAGAATGGGGGGGTCATTTGACCCTCTGTTGAAGTTGTTGGCCCAGGAATGGGCTCGTATTTTCGTATTCTCGACAGCTTGTTGAGTTGTAACAATTTATCTTAACTCTAAAGCTCTGTCAAGAGGATTGATCACAGCTGCAGGCGCGTCCCGAGACGCGCCAATTATTGCTCAAGTTTTTTAGTTGCCCTTCTTAATTATGGAGAAGAAAAAATTCCGCACATAGTGGTGGTAGCGGTCACCCTAGTACCGGTGAAGCAAACAAACATATTTCGCGTTTCGAAAAATGCACTTGTATGTATACGGTAAAAAAAATGAATGACAAGCCAAAACGCTGAAATATACCTGTCACAAAACCCCTTCGAAAATATGTATTTTCTCCTCGAATTTTTGCATAAACCAAAGTCAGCGATATGAATGTAAAAAAAAAGAAACCTAGCATTTACCATCATTGGAATTTTATATGAGTTGTCTACTCATTATCTTTTCGTGATGGAAGCTGAATCGCGGAGAATACGCTGCCCTTCATCATGAAAGGATGTTCATTGCACGAATATACCAAGGTATGGTAGATAGATTCATTTACATGAATTCATCACGTCCCAGCACAAGGAATGTCGAAGTAGTCGTGCTGATACTGAATAGCAATTATACCTGTTGGAGCGGATGTTGAGAGCTCCTCAGGTATCAACAAAAAAATGCATAAAATTTGGAATAAAAGTAAACAAGGATCAGCCCGGGACTGGCTGGAAACTATCTCGTGAGAAAGTTCCATCAGAAGGGAAATCCTTTATAGTAATTCATGTCCCAAATCAATAGCGAAATCAACTCAATTCCAACAGACTTTCACACAGCGAATCAGAAGAATATTTTTTTTTAGACAAAATTGAACGCGTGGGTGATCCCCAGTGAATAGAGCTAAAGTGGGTGCTCTGGCAACTTTGTTATTGTTGACCTTTTACAGGTTTTCTTTCGTCAGTAAAAAATTATTCAAAACTCTCTGTGTGTGGCTAGTTTTCAATTGAAAAATCATTTTTTACAGTTTTCGGGAAGCGCAGAAGCGCAGTGGGAATTTATTTAAATTTAAATTGTAATGCTATATATAAAATATATAAACAAGCCAGCGGAGGCTAAACTACATTCCATCGCCAATATATAGATATTTATATATATATTGGCGACGGAATGTAGTTTAGCCTCCGAATATATATGTACTGTATATATATATATATATTCGGATATATATATATATATATTCGGAGGCTAAACTACATCCGAATATATATATACTGTACAACAGGGGAAAGAGAGAATATTCACTTGAGCCATGATCGCGGCTCTTTCCACGATTGTAGGCGGGGAAAAGTGAAGACCAAACAAAAGAATCCGCGAGCATTCAGTTGACTCCAGGATTCAATTTTTGGGGAAAATGGGGTGGTATCGTAAAGCGAAATTTTTTTTGCGTGACAAGAAGTTACCCGCGTTTGTGGTTGCCTGCTTCCTCGTCGTGGCTGTGCTCAACAGTATGTTGTTCGAAGCAGGATTTATATTTATTTATCTTGTTAAATTCGTGACGCCATGTAGTGACATATTCCGGAAAAGGTTAAGAACCACACATGCATTTATTTAGAGTGGAGTATGGACTAGGCAGTATTTTATTTCTGCAATATCTGAGTGCACCGGACTGATTTAAAAAAATACTTCAACATGTGATAGTGTAGGGATTACGTTTTAAAATTCCGCATTTCCCCATAACCCCAAATGAACAGGGTTTCAACTGGATGTGGCACCCCAGTAGAAAATAATTTTTTTTATATGGTGCTGTTGAAAGCAAAAACAAATACCCCGTTGCCAATCTGGTGAAAAATGGACGACGCTTCATATTGAAATATGATACTCTTTCCGGGAGTATATACTACTTTCATAGTAGAAAGAATAAATCCTTAATCCATCAGGCAAACGATTTTCTTCCCAAAAATGTTTGAGAAAGTGGATGGAATACTATGATAACTTGCAATTTCATCATTTCACGTAGAGTCAAACAAGAACCAAGTTCAAATGATTCTTTGAATACATCTAATAATGATAAAAGAAAAACACCCGCACGAAACCAATAACAGTGATGATCCTGATAGAGTTCATTTACCTTTTGATATCAGTTCATGATAAATAACATTTTATTTATGGAAATGTATATCATAATTTTTGAATGTGTCACAACTTTAATTGCTCAATAGTGTCAAAAGGGATTAAATGATTAAATGATGGATGAAAAATTGACCTAAAGAGTTGAATTCTGTATGTATTTCCATATTTTCTGAGGAGTGTGACAGAAATGAAGATGAAACTTCAAATTTGTGAGCCTTTTCAATGACTTTCGCTATTTTATTAAAAAATTGAAGTCAATTCCCTATAAACTCTCTAGGTGGTGCATGGAATTTTTTTTATACTTTTTTGCTCTATTGTAAATTCACTAGCTGCCTTAGCCGCTGGTTTAGAAAAATAAAAACCTGAAATTTTTTTGGGAACATTCATCAGGTTAATTATATTTTTGCGGGAAATTGATTTTCATTCAATTTCCTGCCTCTCTGTATCTGATTCTTCTTTGCCACACAGATTTACTCATTTCAAGAAAACAGATAAAATAAAATTAGTAAAATATGACTGAAACTTTGTAGTCTATAGATGACCTTGAATTTAAAAAAGATATTTGCGTTGATCAATATCATTCTCTGTCTCTTTCCCATTCTCTCATCTTTGTCATTCATCTGAAAGATGTCACACCCTATGCCCCAACTTAATCTTAAATAAAAAATATAAACTACTCGCCTCCAAGTAATATCCGCACCTGGATTTTATTCGTCATCTCTTCAAATTGTGAGAAAACCAGTTCCCTAAATAAGATGTCTTCTAGTTTGAATTGTCCAATAGTTGGGAGATACTCGGATATTGTACATGAAAAAGCACAACGTGTGGATTAAACATAAAAATTACATTTGTTTCCGTTGCTTTTGATTTTTTATTCTTTTTTTTAGGCATTTGTGCTCCTTTTAAATAGCTCTTAGGAAGTTGACTTCGAGCACCAAAAGTGTTTCGGCCAAAAATTATTAACTAGGTAAATGACACGCACACATTTTTCTCAATTTTTGAAAAACTGCGCTCTTGGTATTCAAGCACCAATGGTAGTTTCAACAATCACGAAATATTAAACCAACAAATTAAATATGATTTACTTGACTCACTTCTGCGTGGAAATTATTCAGAGCAGCACACAAACGAAAAGGTCAACATCAGAGGAACTTGACAAATGTTCTAGCCTCCGCAGAAAGGTCTTGAAAATTGTTTTAGTGCTAATATACTTTCAGTGCAAAAATATATTTCGTACATTCAGAATCTGAATATATCTCCACTCGATCAGGATCACCATCACGCATGGGCGAATTGTTTCAGCGTCGGAAAGTTCATGGAAGACTTTTGCAAAATTTCAAAAAGCAGAATTCTGAAGATAATTTCAAGTTGGAGACACTTGCCCCAGTTTGCGTTCCATACACACATGCTTCGGAAGTTGATGAAAATGATGGAACTGGCACATACGAAACTGAAATCGCAGTCCGAAAGAAAATTCGAGAGGTAAGAGAGCGACATCTTTCTAATTTTGAAATAAAATCAGTATCATGATACACGGACTCAAAGTCAGAGGTACGTGGTTACACATAACCTCAACGTTGTTTTGCGTAGGTCTAGAAAAATGACCATATTCTGCAAAAGCCATATGAGAACTCAGTTTAGTAGAAAAATAATAATATTTTATTGAGACTAAAGATTCACACATTTTCAGATGACCATTCATGCATGGAAGAATTATGTCAAGTTCGCGTGGGGCGAAAATGAATTAATGCCCATCTCAAAATCTGCACACAATCTTTCTATAGCTGGTGTCAACCATTTAGGCATGACAATTGTAGACTCGTTGGACACCTTGCTGATTATGGGACTCACGGAAGAATTTCAACAAGCCAGAAAATGGGTTCAGGATAATCTCAACTTCTACAATGAAGTAAGCTGTTTTGGACATTTTATTTCCTTCAAATTGAATAATTTATCGAAATCATTTCGGAGAATTGTGCAAAACCGCAGTCATTTACCGCGATCTTTTAGCAACTCGTTATCCATAGCTAAAGAAAAAAAATCGATACTGTAAAGCAACATTTTTAAAGCAATTTTCTTTCTATGCATTGATTCTTTTTGATTTGCTTTCTTTTCCAGAACTCTTTTCTCTCGGTGTTCGAAACGAACATACGGTTTGTCGGCGGATTATTGTCCACTTATGCATTGACATGCGATGAAATGTTCAAGAAAAAAGCGGTTCACATTGCTGACAAATTACTCCCAGCTTTCGATAAATCCCCTTCTGGAATTCCATACAGTCACGTAAACCCTGTTACAGGAGCAGTAAAGAATCACAAGTGGTCTCCATCAGGAACGACTATTTTAGCAGATGTTGGAACTCTGCATCTGGAGTTTGCTTACTTGACAAAAATCACAGGCGACAAAAGGTATTTGGAAAAGGTTGAAAAAGCAAGGGCTGTGCTCAGAGATGCACCGAAACAGGATGGATTGTATCCAAACTACGTTTCGGTGATGACTGGGAATTTTCACGGAAATGAAGTCAGCATGGGGCCATTTGGAGACAGTTTTTATGAGTACCTACTCAAGTCCTGGCTTCAGTCCAACAAGACCGACGAGAATTCAAAGAACATGTTTTACGACGCCATTGAAGCCATTTCCGGAAAATTGTTGAGGGTAATTCGACACCTAATTCATAATAAATAGTTAAGATTAGTGTTCTTTGTATACAAACAATATATGAATTCATTGCCTAAAAATCACTATGATTATATTACAATTTTAAAAATTACTGAAAGAAGGAATCCTTCCCAATAATTATTTTTTTTTTTATAGCAAGATCCTGAAGTCTCGAGTTTTTATGGTGCCCTCAAGGTACAATACTGTGCTGATGTGAAAAATAGAGCTTGAAATTGCAGTACTTGATTTTCAAGTAGAGAAAGTGCTTGAGTGAAGTACAGCCATTTCCAAAGAAGAATTGTCAGGATTTCACAACACACATTCAACAGAATCTTACCCACGAGAACAGATTTTTAATTTTTTTTTTTTTTGGCCAACAGACAGGAGAATTGGAAAAAGTTTGAGAAACAGATGAGCTTGACCATTGGGCTGAATTACTGCTTTGATCTTTAAATAATAGAGAAATAATTAACATAAAAATAATAGAAATAAAGCGATTTATTTGGTTCCATAAAAAGAAGATTTTCTTTGTCTCATCGTTTTCTGTTTCATCGAATACGGCAATGGGGTGCAGACCAAAACGCAGCAAATTCAGAAGATATCCAAGAAATAATGCCTTCGAGGTCATCTGATTTATTTGAAAAACTCAACACATGGAATAAAAATTATACTGAAATTACAAATATATTTTTCTTGTTGCTGTATAAACATTTTTATGCATCATCCTCTTTGAATAATTGTAACCCTGTACGAGAGGAAATTTATACTTTTGATCATCTTATCCTATCCTTCTAAAATTAATATTTATAATTCCGGTGAACCAGTACGAAGCAACCCATAGATTGTCTTTATAAGATTGTGAAACTCTGTTTTTATTTGTACAGATTTCAAACAGTGGCATGCATTACTTGACTGATTTTCGTGGCGGTCGTTTGGGCAACACCATGGAACATTTGACGTGTTTCGCTGGAGGATTATTTGCCTTAGGTGCTCACAACAATCCAGCAGCTCTTGAATCATCTAAGCACTATTTTAAAATTGGACAAGAAATTACGGAAACGTGTCACCGCAGCTACGAATTAACAAAGACAAAATTGAGTCCCAACGTTTTCTCATTCACGGGAAACGGATCCAACGATGCCAAAGGAACCGAGATGTTTTACTGCCTCAGACCCGAAGCAGTGGAGAGTTATTTCGTGTTGTGGAGACTGACCCATGATGACAAGTATCGTCGATGGGGTTTCGAGTTGATCGAAGCCTTGGAGACCCATTGTAGAGTGGAACACGGGTTCAGTGGGGTTCGGGATGTTGATAATTTACCCGTGGTGCATGATGACGTGCAACAGAGCTACTTTCTGGCGGAAACGTTGAAATATTTGTATTTGCTCTTCAGCAATAATGATGAAGAGATCTCCCTGAGCAAGTGGGTGTTCACCACAGAAGGACATCCTTTGCCTGTGTTTAATTGAAGAAACACCCCATGGTTTGGTTTACAATAATATACTGTTATATTGTATTGCGGAATTCTGATGAATCAACTTTTAAAAATCTGAGTTGAATTCGTTCCCAGGGCATTTCGTTCTAAAGCGGTGTCTTTTCTCATTACCAACTTGCTCAAAATGGAAGTTGTGTTGACAATAAATGGATAAAAATCGGAAGTATGGAAATTTTTTTCCGTCACTATATAGCTTCTGCGATGGCTGAACACCGAATTCAAAATCCAGAAAAAACACAGAAAATTAAATTGCTGTAAATAAGCTAAAGGGACCTTCATTATTGGTCCCACGCAAAATTATGGCATCATGACTTCTGCCCTGCTGTTCATTGTGATAAAGGAATGTTTTTGTAGGATTACAGTACAGAATGATACTTTCGTTATTATTGCAATAATTCCTAGAGCTATAGGAGCTATGTAGGAAATATATTTGCTACACTAAAATCTTTCTCTTACATACTTTTAAGACACATTATCATGAACCTTCTGCACTATTTTATTTGTAAGCATGAGTGGATTTTTAAAAAATGCCTCGGGATTTTTGACATGCTCTTCGGCACATCATGCACACACACGCAAATATAGAACGTTTATTTTTAAAATGTAATTTGGTTAATTTGCTATTATCTTAACTTGGAGGTGAAATACTTTGTTGGTTGAGTCAAATAAATCAAACACTGATAAATACAAATAATGAGTATAAGCTATATTTCTTTGGTACTCTTAATCACACTTGTATTTCCAAACATACACACTCAGAAGTCAAGACACTATATATGAATTAAAGAAGGCTTGCTAAAACAATGCAAGTCTTTTTGAGAACAATTGCGAGAGTCTCAGTTCCAATTCTCAGGTGAGATTCTTCTGACAGATTCAGGGAAAACACAAATATATATAGTTTCTGGGATATTAGGATCATGACATGTTTTGAGGATTTGGGGATGCGTATCCAGGTCTTGGAACCAGGATGTATATCTTGGGAACTAGCACAGAAATATAATCAGGAATAGAAGAAGCTGAATTTAAGGAACAGCAATTACCATTTATAACTGTCAACAGGAAAAGGAACATTAAATGTGAGCCTGCTAGCAAAATGGGTCATGCACATCTGAGGCAGGCAAGCGCAAAAGTTGTCAAACCAAAACAAGGAGAAAATATATGCATGGGGAAGTTTCTTCCCATGTTCATCTAATTTCAGAAAAGGAATAATAAGAGAAGAAACTCAAAACGAAGCAATGGAGTATTTTGTAGGATAATATTGCAAACCCTTGAATTTTGAAATTAGTTGTTGGACAATATTCAACTTAAATTCATTGCATCTGTACTAAACATTAGATGCTAAAGTAAGGTAATGCTGCGTGGGGGGGGGGGGACAGCAATTTTAAATCATAGGAATTCCAAAAAAAGCAATAGGCAGGTTTTCAACATGATTTCAACATCTTTTTTTCCCTTTGTAAAAAGTACCACTCCAATTCAGAGCAGCAGAAAGCATCCATTTTCATGATCATTCATGCTGAACACATTCCAACATCAAATACTAAACAAAGATTATATAATTCTCTGTGATGAGCTGCTGAGTGAACAACAGAACACATTAATTATTGTTCACCACTCTGAAAGTTTCATCAATCTTGTTAATTTTTCTGAACTAATTTTCTAAAAAGCGTTGCCAGGTCCAGCTCCCGCGCATGGCAGTCATATGACAATATCCGAATTTCATATTTCATCTCAAGCACAATAACCATTGGGTGACATGTCTCAGAAAAACAATGCGACCGCTGAAATTTCCCAATTAGGCTTTATACCCTCTCTTTTGAAACTTTCTCAAGAAATGAGGATATCGTCCCTATATGTGGAGCGAGATGAAGTTTCGGTGGCCTAGGGAAATCCTCTCGGAGGAGGGGTTTCAGTGTTTGCTGAAGGGGTTCCCTCTCTTTGTCATTGTGTGGGCCAGTTTCGCATTTTAATTGCGTTTCCCCCTTTTCGGTGGTGTGAGGCGGAATTGAGTTTCCCCCCTCGCCATGTTGCGGGCTGCTGGTCTCGCTTTTGTTGCGGAATTTGTGGGGAATCTCTGGTATGTTGAGGAACTTGATGAAATAATAAGGAACTTGATTAAATAATACGTAAAACGGCACTGCCTTTGAGTGTATGCTGGTGCTTGTGTCACCACCAACATTTTCCAAGTTCATTTAGCACTGCTGAGATTTCTTGGTTTTTTTTAAATTTTAAATCCTGTTTCTTGAGGAATATTGGAGGACTCTTTCTCTTTAAAAAAAATTCAGATCCAGAAAAAGATTCACCGTATTTACTTGAGTACCATGTGCACCTTTTTTTTCTCAAATTTCAGAAGAAAAAAAGGGGTGCGTGTCAGAAGCCGGTACAAATTTTTCAAAAAGTTTTAGGTTAATTATAGTGAAGAAATTTTTAACAAATGTAACCAGAAAACTTTTTTGCACTGAAACAGTTCAAAATTGATCAGATTCTTGTTCAATTCATGTCTAAATTCAATTTTTTGGTTTTATTTTTGAGCTTTATTGGTTTTAGATTCACAAACAAATGTGGGTGCGCATCTTACTCAGGGATAAGATTTTAGCAAAATTTCCAACTGAAAAACCCCTGTGCGCACCTTACTCAAGGGCGCATAGTGAATACGGTAGTTGTGGAGAACCCCTGCTTGGAATGGGTAGAGAACCCCTATGGGACCACACAAAAAAAAAACATTGTATTAGAGAGTCTACTTGTACAAGTGAACTCTTTCTGCAACAAAATTCAAGGGACCAGAAAAAATATAATAAAGAGAGAATCTCCCTGTTGAGAAACCCTATACAGTTGCTACCTCACAATTTGAACATAATCCATTCCTTGACTAGGGTCAATCGTGAAGCAGTTGAATTGTGAGACAAATACAAATACAATTCAAATACAATTCTTTCTACATTAAATAAGACATGTTGTGTCTCCCTGCAGGTATAATTGTGGGGCAGGGTAAAAATTTAAAGCTGGCCTCCCAGCAAATTTGACTGTTGAATTGCTGGACTGTCAAATTTGCTGGGTACCACGTGTAACATGAGGAGAGAACTCTATGTGACTAAAAATAAAATTGTAATCCAGATAAAATTGTGGCAGACAAGATCATTCTAGAAAGACTTTACTTATGCAGTAGTACTGTATTTATCTGAGTACCAAACACACCTTTTTTATGCAAAACAAAAGATAGCTTTTCTATTAGCTAACATATTAGTGGTTGATACAAATGTTTTTGATAGCCATTAAAACTTTTTTTTGCCAGTGTCCAAATCATTTAATTGAGAAGGCATATGGTTGCAAAAAGTTTATATACAGTATGCATAAAATGGTTGACATTTGAGGACGTGGTGCTGGAAGCAAAGCATTCGCAGACAGCTAATCTCAGTCAGTCCATATGTGTGTGTGTGTCTGCATTTGCGTTATCACGAATAAGCCCACCTTTTGTCCCCTTGTTGTCAAGTGCACTGCCAGTGCTGGGAGGATTGTTGTCTGCTGCATGGGCGGACTGAGGAAAGTTTTTGCTCTTGCCTCCAGGCCAAGGCCCTGGAGGGCTCCGTGTTCCAGCTGGTGGTTTGTCCTCACTATATACACCCCCCTCCCCCCCCTGTCCTCACCTCACAAGGCTCACACAGCAGAACCCCCCATGGCCACGATCTCCAATAACCCTTATTGATTCGGCATTTGAATATTGCCTGGGTGCAGACATTCTGCTGATGCTGATTATTCGCGCCGTTTGCGTCAAGAGCATTGATTTCTCTTCCGAGTTGGAGATCCTGTCTTTGTGTCTGCTGAGCAAATGCTGGGGGACTCAAAACTTCAATTCGAGGGATTTGAAGGTATTACAGGTGCATTCGCTCTCTACAGCAAATTTTATCTGCACAAAAAAAAATACATGGAAACAAGTACATTACTGCAATGCAATTTTGTCTCAGAAGATCATTCAAATCATTTAGCTGAAATGAAAAAAAAGGCACAAGATTACACATATGTATCAAACTTTCAAGAGGGACAACTTTGCATATCAATGCAGAAAAGGATTCATTTGCTCTTAAATTGCACTATAAATGTTAGCTTCAAAAGAAAATTTTATTCTCAGATTTGGGATTTTCCCCAAGAAACAAAAGTTTCTCACCCGAGGGATTTTTTTTCTGGATACCAAAAGTTGGTTAACCTGAGTCCACTATACACTATAGTGAAGAAACGACAGAATTTGCCATCTGATAAGAACTTGAACTACTGAAGTACAATCCACCGAATTCACTTTCCTGCTGCGAAAAAGTGCTACAGTTCAATATTCCCACCAAAAAACTCTATGAAAATATAAGCTCTGAAAACTGGAGAATTAAATCAATCCGAACAAATGCACAAATTCCAGATTTAGTATTTCTCCGGAAAGACGGTTCCGAATCAGTTCAGAAATTTTTATGCAAAGAGAGGAGCGACACCTGCGTGGGAAAAAGTGTGACGTCCGTTCCAACAGGGCTACGTCAGTACTCGACCGAGTTCGTACATTTCCGGCGCACGCATACCGTAATTAATCTCTCGGGGGCCGACGCCCGGTCAAAAAGTTTCGGTGATTCACCTCTAACGCATTCACCATAATGAGCCATGCAAGAAAGATAAATAGAGAGAGAGAGAGAGAGGCAGACAAAGGAGGAAATTTACGCTAAAATTTCTTCCCATTATACCTAACGTAAAATGCGAGGTTCGTATGAAAGTAATACTCGTGGGCAAAAGTCCTTGATCCGCGTTTAATAGCGCTCGAAAGAACGGCGGAAGGACTGACTTCCCATCCTCCCAGCGTTATATTATTCGACAGGCACTTTAATTAGCATACGGGTCGAGACACTTGCAAACCCCGGGGACACACACACACCAGCAAGGACGACTTCATCAAGAAGTTTGCAAGTCCGCATTGGGGGTATCTATGTGTGTGTGTGTGTGGGGAGAAGTTTCTGGGGCCAGTTTTATGCAGAGACGGACGACTAGATTGCTGGGGGTAGGAGGAGAAAAGTTCTTCCTATGTATATATGGGGCTTCCCGCGGGGGTCCGAATTGCACCCAACTTACATTGCCCAGAAAAGGGATGTCTTCTGTAACCCAGGGTGTGGGTATGTGTATTTCCAGTCCGCCGATATTGTATTCCAATTTATTATTCAGGGCCAGCATCAGAGGGAACTTGGTTGGAGGGCTTCGATTTCTTTTTTTTGGGGGGGGGGGGGGTCGATTACTGTATAGGAGTCTTGCGATGCTGGGGGTTCCTGTTGTCATTGGGATGTTCGTCTGTTTGATGAATCTTAGAGACCAGGTTATAAATATTTGATCCAAATACCACTTATGAATTAGATGAGAATGTTTTAGGATTGCATGCGACAATTTATTAAGTCTTGAATCCTTTTTCATGTTTGGTACTGGATAATACTTCACGTTTTTTCAAGACAAGAAAGACTCTCTTCAGTCCGACTGCAAAAGATAGATAATCTTCCTTGAATTTCGAGTTCGAAAGTACTCTGAAAATTCCTTAATTCCTGCTTTCCCGGATCCCAGCGAAGATAATTGATTTTTTTTTCAAAATGTGAGAGTGTTGAAAAAAGAATAAAATTATTCCGATAGCCGAAAATAAAAAATTAGATTACGCTTTTTCCCTCCAATTGTCGCGAGAAATTAGAATTAATATGCATTGATATTCATGGAACGCTTTAATTATAATTTTCAAACCCAAATTATCAGGTCAATTAAAAAATACAAAAATATCTCGAGAAATCATCAAAGGAATTAGTGCATTTGAATATTCTGAATGCATGAATTCGTGGTCCCGAAAAAATAAAACTAATCATATTCTTGAGCATTTTAAATGGGTAAACAGTCATCCGTTTCTCTCCCATATTTTCACAAAAATGAGAAATAATCTACATGCTGATGGGTAATTACAGATATCTTAATTTATTCTCGTTTAAAAAAACAAACAGTTTTATTTTAGGCAACCCGAAGATACAACAGCATCCCAAGAAATCATCGAATAAATAATCGCCATTGAATACAGTACTCAGAATGTATCAATGTCCGGGTGCCAGAAAAGATAATCTATCATCTTTTACATTTTGAATTGGCAAAGATTAATCAGTTAATCTCCAATATTCGCGAGAAATGAGAAATTATCGGCATCTGTATTTCTAAATGTTCTCAAGTACTTTTTTTTATAGAAAAAAGTCAATTTAAAAACAATGCAAAGATGCAAAAAAACCCATAAATTTAATAAGAAATTTACTTGAATATAGGGGATGTATTATTCAAATTATTCCGGATCCCAGGAAAGAGGATCACTCATCTTCAACATTTGACATTAGAGATTTTAAAATTAATCATCTGATGGTCCAAAAATTATAAAATCAACAAAGATATATCATTTTCAAAGTACTGCATTGTATAGCATCTGCATCTTTTCTTGAGGAAAGCGTCTTTCTTTTTTCAAAATGTATACAAAAAATAAATAAATTAAAAATCTCCAGTCCAATCCGAAGAAGCACCAGCACATCCTGAAGAGATCAACAAACCCCCCATTTCCTCCTCTTCTGGCTCGCAACAGATCTTCCAAAAGTATATACAGTATGAAGAAAGCCACCATCTCAATAGATAAGGAAAAGAAAAAACAAGAAAAAAAAAGTGGGCAAATAATGAGGCATCAGTGCTGCATTGGGCACAGGAGCAGCAGCAAACCCGGCCGCCTCATTTCCTGAACACCTCACACAGCCGCCCTCTTGTAACTTCCTACCCCCAATGCGCCGCCACTCTGAAGGACCGGAATTTCCATCCCCGTGCCTCAGAAAACCCCCAGGACGAGGGGTTTTCCTCATCACACCGGCGTCGGGTTACCGCGAAGGGCCTCTTGAAACGTGCCCCGTTTCTGGCGGCCGCCAAACACTGGTGGGTACCGATTTAAAAACGGAAACCCCCCCCCCCCTTATTTTTCAAGTACCGATTTAACGACAGTTTCCGGTTGAAGATAGAAATTTATACAGCATTTATTGTCTCGGTTTTGGTACGTGTACGAAAAGCTGTTTATTGCCGCACGGGGTTTCCTTGCACACCAAAAAATGCCCATCTTCCGCAGGTGATTTACTGCCTTTTTCGACAATCATATCCACATGACCGGAAATAGAATGGTGTTAAAAAAAATTTCGAAATGATCTTCTCGCGAAAAAGCGGAGTATAAATTAATGGCTGTTCTTTCGGGACCATTCATGTAGGCGCATTAATTTACTTGTTTGGGGAATCATTCTAAACATCATTCTAGTCACTGTACTTGAAAAAAAGCATTATCATTTCAATTTTAACCGATCCGAAACCTGTTTTACTTAGTAATATTTCACCTCAAGAAAAAAAATGAATAAGTGAGCTTCTGCCCAAAAGAAGGCATGCAAAAAAATTTAGGGAAAGGTTCAAGCATTCACGCTTATCATTGACCATACCACGAGTTATCCTTCATTATTTCTCCATTAAAAAAGAATAAAGTGGCAACCCGTGTGCCAGATCCTCCTGGGGAATGTTACCCACAAGGATGGGCACACATACGTATACTGTATATATATATATACAGGAAGGAAGAAAAGGGCCGCTCGTCGACACCCGCAACTGAGCCGCGAAAACCAATTTGAGGACCGCGGCTTATGCAAATTAGAGCAACTCAAAGGGCTTCTTTATCTCGACCGGGGAATTAATGAGCCTCCAGCTGCTGGTGCTGTTCACACCCCACTTTACCCCCCTCACACACACACAAAACCCCCGTCGTTCGAGTACTGCGACTGGCTGCTCGTGCAAAACCCGCTGTGTTTTCTAGGTCTCATTTGACTTCCAGATTGACCAAATATCCTCCAACCCTGAATGCCAGAGTACCCCCAACGACGCTGTTCTTTCATGCAAACATCAGCTTCCAACAAATGCCGGTATAAACCCGGGGAAAAGAGGATCTTGGAGTCGTTGGTTCCCCCCCCGAGACAAAATACTGCAAGCTATTGCGACACGCTTTAACTTCTTATATAGTCACGTGCTTGTGAGTTATTTACAACCAAGGTTCAATGAAGGGAATATTTTCAGTCTCTCGAGAAGTAAATCAGCCAAGAAGTGTTTGGTCCCCCCCCCCCCTTTTTTTGCAGATAAAATTTGGCAGACTCGAAAGAATTCTAGTGACTGTGAGATTGCCGAAAGATATTATTTTCTGCGTCCACTTCACACAAGGCGGTATATATTTTTTTTTTTAGAAAAATACTGTACGAATGTGAATTTTACTCCACAAAAATGCAATTTTTCCTATTTCTTCTTCAACTCCAAAAATCCAAGACTACGACAAATTCGTGGCTATAATATCGATGGCATAAAAAAGCAATGAACTCCTGCTCCAAGATCCACTTCAGAAAAAGGGATATTCTTCAGCATTCGTGTTCAAAGGCTTCAATTTCCATTTTCCTACAAAAAAGATTCTGAGTCTGAATTATAAATCAGATGCGCGTTGGTTTATTTCATAAAGATAGTCTTGTGTGTTTTTTTTTATGAGTTCATCCCGATTTTCTGTGGTACAGTAACTGTGCGAAATTTATTTTGCGGCAAAGGACGCCGCCACAAAAAAAGAGGGGTCCGTTGACTTGAAATTTAATCGGCGCATCTTGGGATGCGCCAAAAAAGACAAGAACAAGAAAAGTTGGCGCCCCAAAAAATCGGGGCAACCGAAAACCAAAAAATCCTGAAAAGGAAGAGAATAGAACCAAAAAATAATCCCCGGAACCGGGGCAATTCGAGCTGCTTGTAAAATCTGCGCACTTGTAAAATAAGGGAGACGACTCCCTCAGCAAAAACTTTGAAACACAGGGACAAAACGAAAATTATTGCCAGCTGCTGGCGAAAACAAGCAGAAACAGATCTTCTTTCCAAAAAGCATTTTATCTCTAAACTGCAAACTGTCCAAAATTGCCTCGACTTCCCCAGAAAAACCCACTCCTGGGAACAGTATTTTTCTGCAAGATAATAAACTAAAAGCACCCGGTTACCGGGAGAAAAAGACATGTACAAATATCACGAAAACAGCACTAAAACCCACTGTTAAGACAATAAAATCGCGCCCGAAAACCGGGGAAAACTGTGTTCAAAAAACAACGAAAAAGTCGTTGACAGCTGCCAACATCTGGCCAGTTTGTTGACTTTGAAAATCCCAGCACCTGGGTGTTTTCGAACCAAGAAATTGGCGCCAAAATGGGGAAGAAAAGTTGCATAAAACCCCCCGAATTTGGCGCAACAACTACTAGTCGAACTTTGAAGGAGCTGCGGATAATTTTCGTACAACTTGAAATTCGAAAAATCGCGGACTTGTCCAAAATTTCGAGAACTTTTGCGGACTTACAAAATTTCGGGAATTGTGTGAACCCTTTCAAAAACTTCGGAACCTGTGAAACTTTTGTAAAATTTGACTGAAGTGTTTTTATAACCTTAACTTTAACTTCCAAAACTATTTTGAGCTTAAAGCATTCAAAAGAGGCGTATTTGCCTTCTTTTTCTTTTTTACACTTGTGAAAAGCTTGGTGTGAATATCATTATTTTTTCCAACCACTGGAACTCCTTGTTGCCTAAATCTTTTCAACCGAGTACCAAAGAAAACTTACGCTAATTAATTTTATTGATTCCAATTCTACCAACACTTTACAGGTGTAAGGCTTGTAAACATCCAACAACTATAAATAAAACCTTACACAGACCACGCCCTAGTTTTCTCAGGGCATTCGTCATAATATAAAAGACTTGCGCGACGCAACTACGGTAATTAAACACGGAATTTGGGCAGTAAAGGGCTCGACCCCCCTTTTTTCTATTTGGTTGGAGTTTGTCTGCAAAAAGGGTTACCCAATTTCGTCACGGAAGCACCGGGACCAGGAGTTCAAGTCGCGGAAGGTCGAGTCCCGTTGTAAAATGCTCCCGGACTTCTGCCACGACCCGGGGAGTCACGATCATGTTCACTTCTTTCACGACCAAGCCTTCAGCCACGGCCCATTTCTCCCGTCTCACTTTCCTCACCACCTTGTTGCTCCATTGACGAGTCTGTAACCTGGGGGATAGCAAAACACAGTCCACGCAATAAAACTTCCGATTCTGACTGGAACATTTTCCAATAGAATGTATGCATTATTTATGTACCACACACACAAACATACTGTATATATATTTACATATATGTGCTTGTCTTTTTTTTCCTTTCTTTATATTTCTTTTTTTATATGCGCGTGTGTTTTTTCCTTTCGGACTCGTTTTCATCTTCTGCACAGTTAATTCCTGCATCCTTCAGGCGAGAAAAACATTCTCATTGAATTTTTGAAGGACTTTTCTCAATTGTATGCCAAACATGAGGAAAGATAAAATATATTCCCATGTAATTCTATGGGAAAACGTGGTCCCCAACCTTTTTGGGCCCGCAGACTGGACAATTTCCCCAAAACATGCTTGCGGACCGGCAATGTTTATACAGTATATGCACAAGTATATTTATTTATTTATATAAATTTTTTTTTTTGTGTTGCGACTCGGTGGTTTTACGCCTGACTCAAGGACAAGAAGAAGCACGAACATCGACAACGACTTAATTTCAATCACGTCTGCAGCATTTCTCACTTTCGATATCAGGAAGTAACGGGAAGAAACGGTACAAAACGCAGTAAATCTCACTTCAATTGCGTTAACTTGAATGACGATGAAATTCGTCCGATGCACGTTGGAAAGTCGTGCGATCATTGAATAACAGAAACGAACTACAGTAATGTACTGTACAAGGAAATATCCTTATAAAGGGATTTGAAAAGCATTACTGCTATTCGGCAGGGAACTGAAACACGACTTCTTTGTAACGAGTAATTTATTATAACGAGATTCGTCACACTGACATTCCACGGCACTATAAAGAATATCAGATTCTCCTCCCATTAAAAAAAAAAAACTACTCCAGCGCCTTTTGAAAATACTGTTTGACAATCTGCCTGAGCAACCATGATGATAGTTTTTTCCCCAGTGGATTACAACCGATAACCGACTTCATTCACACACCAAACCAATTAACCACGAACCATAAATTACCACAACCTTGAATCATCCTAGTCTGGTTTCACCCCCAAGCTAAACCAACCTTGCAACATATTCTTCCCCTTACTCAACCCTCAACTAACCCAACCCAGCACCGAAACATATTATGAATTTACCTTTTACGAAAGACATGCCCTACTTGAATCCAGCAGAGAAGGCATGATTACGTACAGTACATTAATTCAGAGCACTTGCAAAAAATGTAACATGTACCGAAGTCATGCATACTGATGTAGTCAATTTGATCTACTGTATTACCGAACTCATAGTTAACTTAAGCTGAGCATTAAATACAGTATTTAACGAATCTTGCCTTGATAATGTGAACATGGACAACATGAAAGATTTACGAAGCGGTTCAATACGGGAAAATCCAACTTGTGCGTAATAGAAAAACCTTCAAAAATGTGATTACTAATTTATTTGTAAAGAAAATTTAGTATTGCAGGAAGTAATCTAATCTAGTATGTGTAGGCTCTAATCGAAATTCATCCAGCTTTATTTCAGAATTGAAAAATGTCGAATTTCAAAAATAGTGAAGAATCTTTGAAGGGATAATGTTCTATTTCAGGGAACATACAGTTGTTGATAAATAAAGGCTCAAGAAGCTGCACAAAAAAGGTTGACTATGAAGTCATTCTATATTGATAAAAATCTTTCAAGTTCTTTCCCTTCCAGATTTTATTCTATTAGCGTAAGGTATAAAACTTAAACGTGTTAATAAAGTAGAAAAAGTTAAAAATGATGGCATTTCTTCATAAACAGTATATGATTTGGATGTGTTTTAAACTATTTCATCTGCTTCCATTAAATTCCAGTCCTATACGCTCAGACAGCCCAGAATATCATCTTGAATTCTTTTTTGTTTTTCCTCAGGTCCCTGGGAGTTCGTTGTAGCGAGTTTTTCCAGTAAAACTAAATTTACCGCGTAACTGTGAGATAATTTCGGCAGCATCGCAAAACAAGTGGCGTCAGCAAAAAGAAAAAAAAAACTCGGGTGTTTTCGAAATTTTTGCTCCATAAATTTCGCTTTCAAACATTAAATTTCTACGGGATAGCAGTCGTGCTGGGAGTTCCGACGCTTTGAGGCCACTTCGCATGAAATAGTGGGTGGAATTTACCCTGCTTTACTCCACTGCCTTTTCTCCAACCCGTGTAGTAAAGAAAATCTTTCAAGTCACAACGGAGCAATAAATTTTACTCCACATTCAGCTATTTTTTTTCTGTTGCGAAATGTTAAAGTTTGTGTTGTGATTCACGGCAGATAATTACAATTTGGCATGCTGCAGGACACCGGGCTCGAGATATGAAGCCACTTTGTTGTTGGGCAACCAATAAAATTGCCCTCTCAAATTGATCGAATATGACATACAAGGGAGAACAAAAGAAGGGCAAGTAAGGTGAGATTAACAACTCACTCAGCCCAAACGAATCCAAAGCAACTCGTTGCTGCAACTTCACCTAACAGCCCAAACGAAGGCCCGTGTGACACGAGAAGTATACAAATTTCAAAAATATCTTCAAGAAAAATATCCTGTTTACTACTGAAATAGAAAATTAATTTCCGTCGATTTTTCAAAATGCACCCCGAAACCGAGGTAATGATTAGGTAATGATTCCAGGACTGAATTTTGTGTGTCCTTCAGAGTTATCGCATAAGCCTTTTTAACTTCCTCATTGAAAATTTCATCTATCTCTTGTTTTACACGCGCCGACATCAAAACCATGGTAACATCATCAACGTCACCTCGCATCAATCAAATTAACCAAATACTGTAGAAAAATTAATCCATCGATAACAATGTTCCTACATTTGCCCAACGAAAATAACTTGGCACAACATCGAAAAAACCCAACTCAATATTCAACTACCCCAATCTTACGGATACTTTAAAACCGAACTAACTGAATATTTCAAGTGCTTTGATTAGCAACAAACCCGGCCCACCACCTAAATCCCAACCCCAGCCATGGATTATCCAACTCAATTCATGACCGACAAGCATATCAAGTCATCATCCACTTGAATTTCAGCCAGACCGGTCCCACCAATGCCAATCAAATCTGTCTTTAATAATCGACAGGACCCGTGAACCTTGGTGAAAGGCTTATGAAGCACCGAAGAAGCAGCATCAACAAAAAAAACTAAATTGACTTCCCGAATCGTTTTAGAAGACTATCACGAAAATCGGAACTTCGACATTACGGTGCCATACTTGACCCAATGCTACGTTAGTGGGGGATAAGTGGGACCCCGAGATGCGGACGTATCGTTGCTTTGACCTCGTCCCTACTTCGGGGTGTTCACGTGTCGAATCACGTTTTCCCATAGACTTCAATGGAAGTTTATTTAATTGTGTCTCGTGTTCATCAAAGCTGGGAATGAAGTTCCCAAAAAGGGGAAAAAATATTCTCAATATCGAGATACAAAAAATAACGGTGCATAAGAAAGCCACAAGTCTAGCTATACTACGCGCATATAATGAATAAAACTTGTTAGAAGTACAGTATAAAATTAGCCCGATGTTTACGAAGACTATACGATGCACATAAAATGGATAAAACGCGCTACAAGTAGAAAATTAGCCCGATATTTATGATTGAGAGTAAATTTGGGATCCAATTTATTTTTCATTTTTGTGAATAAAAGTTCCTCGACTTATTTATGAAACATCAAAATTTTGAAGATTAGAATTTTAAAAAATTTCTATAAATGGTGGAAAAGGCTCCGTATCTCGAGACATGGTCCAGATGTTGAGGCAGATTTTTTTCGGTATCAATTGTCTCGAAGTCAAATCATCCGTATGCCGGGGTCCCACTGTATACACTACACAGCACTGCATTATATACAGCAAATAAACAGATTGAATGGCGATTCTTCTCCCCAATCAAGGAGCCAGCTTCATCAAATAGCTGATGCCATCGCCATATAAACAAGGCGCGACCCGATCGACTTCGTGTTCCATTATAATTTTTTTTTTTTGCTCAGGGCACTCCAATATGACGCAATCCGGTCACGCCAAGCTTCCAGGCGGATTTTTTCCACAACTGTTTCAACATCTCAGCCTCACGGTAGCCTCCGACTTCCGCACACACAACCCAAGTCCCTTCCCTTGCCTCATTCCGGACCGAATCTCGCAAGTACTCATTAAACAGGTCCGGAGGAAGAAGATAAAAGAAGAGTTCTTGTTTTGTTTAAAAAAAAAGGGGTAAATAAAGAATAGTAAGGAGACTTACTCTTCGTTGAGGAGGGGCTTCCCATTCTCTGCACGCGGCGTCAGCGGCACACCATTCTTGTCTCTATAGAAGGCATAGAGTGACACAGAGAAACCCAACGCGTGAAGGATTTCGTGCTTCACGGTCGACAGCAACGTGTCGAGCTCCTGCGGCTTTGTACTTATGCTGCTCGGGCACAAGTTGGCGTGACCTGCTATTGGCCTGCGGAGAAAGGGAGGGGGAAAAAACGAAAACAACACGTCATGGTAAGGTTAGACGGATTTTTCTTCGCAAAACCTTCGCATTTAATCAAGCATTCCGAAGTAAATCGCGGGTTCTACATAATTCCAAGCCGGTTTCGCCAGATCAACCGGCGGTTACAGACCGCGCCCTAATTTTGAGAGGCAATTTTCGGGGTTGGAGGCAGATTGGTCGCGAAGATTGGCAATTTCCGGGGGAGGGGGCGGCAAAAATGCGGTTTTTACAAGGTCGAACTATTCAAAAAAAGGAAGAAACACTTTTGAAGGCACGGACTGATGAAAACTAGGGAAAACCTGAGATTCTTTTCTTTGACATGATTTAACCCATTTCTTTAGGGTGTTGACAACATGCACTGGAAGCTTGTCTTGGAAAAATAATACTGTACAGCTGAGCTCTACACAGAAACTCAAGGAACCAGGAAAAATTTGGTTGCAGAAATAAATTTCTTTGTAGAGAACCCTTTCAAAACGGGGAGAGAAACTTACGGAACCACCAAAAAATTCGTTATAGAGAGAAATCGTACAGAGAGCCCACCTGCATTCAGCAATTAAATAATATACAATAGCTTCAAGATCACGAAGAGAAATTCTCGTTTTTTTGTGTGCGTAGCAGAAAAAAAGGGAAATATAAATAAAAAGCAGGATAATGCGGCGTGATCTGCAGAAGTTGAGTTTATATTTATAGAGCACAATACCTTTACAATATTGAGAATCACAATACAGTACTTAGAATCACAATTGAGACTCGTAAAGAAAATTTCATGGAGGATTTCGAAAAGTACGCAAAAGCATTGATTCGTTTCTTTTGAATACGTGCTGTAACACATCATCAGTTCGGAAAATTGAAAAAATTATGCATTACACACCAACATTGACAACTAAGAATGAAATTGAAGATGCATGGTGTTGAGCGTATTTCATTATTTGCAATGCTTTGATGCGCTAACTTTCATATTCGGTCAGTTATTTTAAATCTCCTCTTTATGTATCTTCAACATTTCCTCGTGAATAATTTGATCTACATTTTAATCCCCACGAGGCAAAGATTAATTTAGGTCTATTTTACAGGGGATAATTAACTCGAGTGACGTGAAATTTGTGAAAAATTCAACCAAGAAAAATACTAAAGCTACGCTTTGCGGAACGGTCAATAAACTTGTACGCTTCCCGCACAATTTTTGATAAGTAAGCACCTTATCGTCCAAATTAACTGAAAAAATTACGAACTGCACGTTGCAAACACAAGTGTGGGTGGTTCTCTTTTCCGTCGGTTAGGTCGGAAAGAAACCTTAAAATGTAACGTACAAAAACCCTCCCCCTTTTCAAATTCATCACGTCGACTCCAACAGGTATATGTCTATGGATAAATGAAAAAAAACAAGAATACAGGAAACCAATAATTCATCCACGGGTTTTTTCCCCCCGATTTCGACGTCCAACTTTACTTCCTGAAATGTCAATTACGTATCGTCTGATCACTATCAGACAGAACCAAAGATGATCCAACAGAATAAATACTCGTCAAACACAACCTCACACTAGCCTGAGGCGACCAAGCATAAAATATGTTACCAAACTTGGAGCAATATGAAGAAATTCAAAGGATAAATATGCAATTTCAAATAAAATTACGAAACTTGAGGCGTCAAGGGTTGAGGTGAAAAGAAGTGACAGCTGAATGACACTCGGTTCACCAAAAGTAATACTGTACACGCTCGATCCACAAATTGCTAGGAATTATTTCACAATTTTCCTGTCCATTTGTTGAAAGCAATGAAGTTTTGACGGTTCCAAAACCACTGAAGTACAGTATTGCGATTGCATGCTCTTGACAGCGTACAGCAAAAGAAAATGACACATTTTTTTGAACTACTGGTGAGTTTCTTCAGAAAGGATCACTCATTCTCATGCATAAACACATAAATTACTGCTCAGAAGCACAAAAATTCGAAACATCTTTCTAATGATAATGTAATAGTCTGTCAGTTGGGTTTGTGGCATGTTGGCTCAGGGTCAACAGCATTCTTGCTTGTGCCACCCACATGCTCCCTAAAAATCTTGTAAAGGCTCACATTTGTTCACGATCCATCCAGAGACTAACAAATCATGACACAATAGAAGCCAAGAAAATTGATTCATGAACATGGATCCACCATTTCCTCGCATTATCCATCAGCAAATGTCTCAATACATGGAAAAGTCATCCATGAACATGAAAACGTGCCCTATCACTCAAGACAAGAATATAACAAAATTCGGCATTGGATTACGAGTATACTGACACAACATAATCCGAGCTTTGGACGAGAAAAATACTTTACAATAATGTTAGCATTTTCGTATCGATCAACACGAAGCTAAAGATCCTACGACGGATTGCAATTGTTTAGGACGTTATCGGCGGATCAAAGGCGCAAATTCACTGGCTACCGAATAGACCATATTTATGTTATACAGTATTTATATACCAAGAACCCAAAACGTATCACATGTCAATACATAATTAGTTTTAATTTGACAACTCTCTTTAAAATGTCTGTTAAACGGCGTACTTGAAACAAACCTCGAAAAATCAACTTGAGCGGGTACACAATTTTTGAACCAATGCTGTGGATGGTAGAAGAATTAAAGTGAAATAACCATCTTGATTTTCGCAATCAATATCGCGAAACGTGGAACATTCGAGTGCAAATTCATAAATAATTTTATATGAGGAGTAGGACTGTACTACAGCTTCCGCAGTTGGGCAAGAATTCTAGAAACTGAAGAGACGAACAATTTCTTGCATAAAAATTGGGGCTTCATTCATTCATATTTTTCAGCATAATTTTTTTTTTTTTTTCAACTTGACTTGGAGGGGTGGTCCAAAAAAACCATCTTGATGTACAGTACCGTACTGAAGTTTCAACGAATATGTTTGTAATTTTGTTCGGATGAGAATAGACAAAAATCATTTCAATTATGAAGGGCGGCTTCATTCCGCGTACGTTTTTATGTTTAATAAAAGGAATTCATCCCGATGACGTTTTTCCCAAACTTTCCTCACCCAAATTTCGTTTTAATAATTACACAAATGACACGTTTTGTTTAGTAATTTTTCGGGTTGTAGGACAACCAGAAAAAAATATAGCTGGAAAGATTCCGTTATTCCGTTTTTTATATTCAATTCGGTTTAAATTCTCCGAGCATTTAATGTTGCGAAAACATCACTTGCCACAAAAATAAATGAAGTCTTGCTTTTTTAATGGCAGCCCAACTGCTCAAAATTCAGTACTACTCCTAGAATTCAACCTCGAAATTCTAATAAGAAACCTTATAAAAACAGCTTCTACTTCTCCGGGAAACAACAAGCATGAGTACGATGTGCTAAAAATAGCGGTACTGTACTTCCACGAGGCCTTACGTGTACTTTACAATTGACGAATGTGCAGCATAAATATTTTCATATACTGCACTGATCAGCTGCCAGAACCCCAGGACAGTACTGTATAGTACTCACCGATCGAGGGAAGCCTCTTGTTGGCAATGTGCAGCATAAGCCACAGTCATTCCCTTGTGACACCGTTCAGTCTCCATGGCAGAAACGTAGAAAACGAAGTCCGCGTCAATGTACTGTATAGTACTCACCGATCGAGGGAAGCCTCTTGTTGGCAATGTGCAGCATAAGCCACAGTCATTCCCTTGTGACACCGTTCAGTCTCCATGGCAGAAACGTAGAAAACGAAGTCCGCGTCAAAAATCCCCTGTCCTCGTGTTCCATTGATCTCGTGACAATCACGTCCAAGTCCATCACAAACTCGGCAGGCCTGTGACCAAAGTGAAAGTGTTGGGGGAGAGAAAACAAAAAACGGATTCATTTACGGTACTCGTACTGTACTCGCGGAACTTTCATCCCGAACGAACACATTTCGCGAGAACATTCAACCCCCCCCCCCCCCTTCGCACAAAAGGCGATATTAGAAAAAGCATATTTTGAAGAAATGGGCAGAAAATTAGTCCGGTTTGAAGCAAGACGAGGAGCCTTTTCTTTCGGGTCGTAAAAGAAAGTTCTTTCGCTGGCAGTTCGATGACGTAAAATCTTATTCCGCGCCGGACAGGATATCCTTGGGATTTCGAAAGGATTAAAAAAAAACCCCCATCCCCTAGGCAGAAAAAAATCTTTCAAATTGCTCAAGATAAATCGAACGAAGAAAAATACGTCAATGACGTCCACTCACGTCAAGGTGCTCCGGAGGAACCGCGACTTCCCCGCACATCGTTACAGCTTCACAGGAATTCTTACAATAGGGCAACGAGTCGTTCTTCTTATAGAACACCTGATTGTCCTCACACTTCCTATAAATCGAAGAAATCAACAAAATAAATGAACAGAAGACGAAACCTGAAAACGCTCGGCGAAGAATTTGAACCCTGTGTCTCATTCGCAGTTCATAAAATGCAGATAGAGCTCTGCTTCATCGATTGGACAGATCCAATAGAAATTCACAACCAAATAAACTGGACTTCTCTGTAATAAAGATTCAATCTCTGGAAAATGCACTCAACCGTAATCATTCATAAGCAAGTATTCTAGTTTTGAAAATAAATAAACGCACATCTTTTGATTAGATGGCGTCTTAAATTCGCATCAACTGTTACGCGGGTTCCTGAGACTGTCCAAATACCGTATGAACACTTATAATAAAAAACAATCTCAAACATATAGACAATCTTTATGTTTATGCTAATAATGTACTGTATATTTAAAAAAGCATCCAAGTCTGAAGAACTATCTGACCATTTTTCTGCAACGACATTTTCGTCTTTCCTTGAAAAAATAATACACAGAAATGAAATTCATTTCAAGGTTCATCAAGATCATTTGAGGGAGTCTGTAATCACCTTTGTTAACTACAATGCGCGTTGTTCGGATAGAAA